CCAAGTCCATTCAGAATCACAGTAATCCTAGAGGATGGCGTAGAACTGCCTTTCTGAATTCGGAGACTTTAGATCTTGACTGTACAAATAGCTTCTTTCTCCCCAAAGCGGCTGGTCGGTTTGAACTGCTGACCTTGCAGTTAGCAGCTCAATGAATAGCCCACCATACCACCAGTGTTCCGTCTATCCAAAGATGTGGTAAATTACAGCACGTCCACGCCTTAGCATCTGTGAGTTGCAGGTGAATTGCAGTCACATTCACCTCATTAAAAATTATCCCCACAATATCCTCCCACTATAGTGTTACCTGAATGCGACATCTTACAAGCTCATGGCAGACCACTCCCTATACGGCTGAAGGCCTTGATCTATAGGAGTAGACGTTGTTTCTTGTTCTCCCTGCTCAAGGGCAGCTGACTCCCCTCTGCCTGCCCCCAATGCTAGTATTAGGTTTCTCCCCCAATGAGCTAGGGTTAAAATACTGGCCACCTTGCTACGCAGGTGATAAATGAGGTCTGAGTGTCCTGAGAATATGTGAGCCTGTGACAGACTGTATTAGCTCCCTCTCCTGCTAGACCTGGCATCGTGGAGGAGGTGAGCACCCACAACTTTTGTCTGCCTTTGAAATTTCTTCTCTGCAATTACACAACTGTCCCTTTGCACCCATCCAGAGGTGGGCTAGCTCCCACAGCAACCCACAGGGTCTTACACTCTCCCTCATCTATGTTTCAATGTGAAGAATTTCGTACGCACTCTACGGCCACCAACTCTGTTCCCAGTTGGCTCTGATTTTAGGATCAGAACCTAAATGTGTTTCCTGACAGATCCTAATGATCACTATATTCTGTCTCATTTAATCAAGCTGTCTTGTGAGCTTTCACGAATCCATTGAGAGGCGAGTAGAATAAGTCAAATGACTGTACCTGAGCATTGGCCATTTCCTTCTGTTCGTAAGAAAGGACCAGTAGCTCCTGGGTGTGTTCTTTCAGTGCAGTCTTCTCTGGGCCTTGGCAGACGTTGTTGTCAGATACCTCAGGTCAGTCTGTTACCAGAAACAATTATCCCCCAAGCTGGGAATCTCCTCCTCCTCCTCCTCCTGCTGAAATGCCTTGATCCTACGGACCAGAACCTGTGGATAACACAGCCGACACTGTGATCAGATGTCAGAGTAGACCAGCCGCTAACAATTATGGGGTTCGTAGGAGCAACTGTCCAGTGCTAATACATAGGATCACAGTGAAGTCAGAGAGAATAGGGAAGGTAGGAGGGAAGCCAAAATAACGGAGTCAGACACCGTTCGCGGCAGCATGCTCCCCTCCGGGACGGCCATGAGCTCAGCAGCCGGGTCTGCGCAGAGAGCAGCAGGAGGAGAGAAGGCTTAGAGGACACAGCAGCAGGAAGAGATAGAGCAAGCAGGGGTGTCTGCTTCCCTAGGGAGATAGAATCAGCCATGTGCTCACTTCAGACAGCACAGCTATTAGGGGAGAATCTGTGGAAATGATATTTAAAGCAGGATCATGTACTTGGACTTTATCTCTAATTTTACCAAAGTGGAGGCGTTCCTACGGTGAAATACCGGCTTTCCAGATTCCCTCTGTATAAGCTAGTGAATATAGCCCTCGTCATAGTTCCCTCAATGTCAGTTTCCCACAATAAGACACGCACCTGGGGCCACAGCTCTTGTCTTATGGATTCACCTTAAGACAAGGCCTCACACATCATCTAACACTAAGCCTCCCAGTGTCTGGAAGCATGTGCGTTACCGGCAGTTTCCATGACGCC